AAGGATAACAACTGTAGGAACAGAGATATCTGTAAAGCTGAACTGAAGCTGAAAGTAGAAGTACTTCCACAGGGAGAGAGTTGTCATCTCATCTTTACTCTCAGATCACAGGCTTTTCATTTCATGAATAATTTACAGATGATACTTAAAGTTTGCAAAAACCACTGAAGAACTCAACCAGAGGTTTACAAGGGGCAGTGTTTTTTTGTAATGTACTACTGTCAGCCAGCTTGCTTTTCCCTCAGTACAATGTCTGTGTAATTCTCCCTTTTTAAAATCCCGTGACTGACTTTCCCTTTAGCTTGATGATATATTTTGTTTTGTTTTAAAAAAATCATGCAATACCATTTGCTTTAAATACTGATTGCAGCCATGATAAACACTTCACCTGTATGAAAACGCTGTGCAATCAAGAGACCATTTTTTCAAAATGCCACAGAAGTTGTGAGGTTTTATGGGAGCAGAACTCAGCCAGTCAGGGATATAAATACTTTACTAACAAGGGTCTGAACACCTGACCTGTGACCTTTGTTAAAGACAGGTGCAAACACAAACAAGCACAATACAAAACCTCATTCACATCAGTTGAAACTTCACTGTAAGCCAAAGCCCCTTAAGCCTACATAGAAAATACCGGTGAGGCATTCCAGCTTATTTGTAGCTCCTCGAAATGCTACAAAAGTGTATTACAATCCACATACACGTCCTTAAGGTTAAGTGGTTACAATCAAGGCAGAGCAGTATTGTTCAGAGAGCTCACTGTGAAACTGAGCTGAGATTGTATTCCTCCTTTAACTGAAATGACACACCCTTTAATGATATTTATATCTGTCATTTGTTAAATTATTCTCAGTCAGTCATTTGTCCATTTTTTGTTTTTTTTTGCTCCTTTTCTCAAACATACCACTCCCTGCGTGAGATCACAGATCCGTCCATGTGGGACACATAGTCGCTGTCTGTACCATTGTCATAACAGTCCTCCGGCAGGTAGGGGGAGCCGTTGTTCACTATGGGGCTGTGCACAGGAGGCCCGCAGGGGTGCATGTTTTGGGTGTTGTAGTGATCTGGGTAGTAGTTTCCCTCCTTGAGACCCCTGTGGCCATCCCCCCTGTCAGCCCAGTCATCCCTATCCTTGCGTTCAGGGGTGTAGTCGGGGTAAATTATGTCTCCCCCCAGTTTGGGTTTCAGCTCCTGGCTGCCTTTGCTCGTCTTGTCTCCGTAGACCTCCTGCAGCTCATGCGGCTGCAGGACGTCCAGCTGAGACTCCTTCTGCATGTCGGAGGGTCCCAGGTACTGTTTGGTGTAGTAGTCTCCTCTGAAGGTCCGGCGCTGTCGCATGAAGCAGGCTCCACCGAGGATCAGCAGGAGAATCAGGAATAAAACTCCACCTACAGCACCGCCAACTATAGTACCCAGGCTGCTGTCGGGTAAGGAGGCCAGCGTTGGGGAGGTGAACAGGGTCCCCTTCTTGTCAGTGCCGGTTCTAGAGGTGTCGTGGAAGAGGGATGCAGTGGTGCTGGGGGCCGCCGTGGTGGGGGGAGGATCTGCAGAGCGAACATATGATGAAAAGATTTAAACAGAGAGGAAGGACGGCAGATGGAGTGAGGAGTCATAAAAAAAAAAGAAAACGGAGAAAGACTGCACTTTATGTTCTGTAACGACTGACGAAGCAAGTGTGAATGGTTTTTAGATTCATTTATAACAACACTGTGCAGTATTGGAGCAGAGACATGACTCTCTTGAGACTAAAGAATCTGTTGAAAGCTGTGCTGTAGAGCAAAAAGGGGGAAATAAGAGGGGCAGAAAGAGGTTAAGTGCTAAATGTCACTGTGTGCGTGCATGAGAGGAAGACAGAGAGGGATCGGAGGACGGAGGACATGCACTCATGAGCATCTGAGTGAGCGTGATTGGCTCTCCCTTCTTTCTTTCTAAACCCTGCTGTGGGGAAGTCATGTGAGAAGATGAAGCGCTGTGTGATCGATGTGGTTCCTGCATCTGACGTTTTCCTCCGGCGGCCAGCGTTCGTGATAGCAGCCAGAGCCAGAGAGAAAAAGGGCTGTGCGGAGCTCAAGGTCAGGATAAGTGTCTCCATTTTGACCTCCAGCCTCTGGGGCTAAGAGCAGCCTGATACCACTAGTCGATCTCTGCACAGGCAAATCAAAGGCCTGACTACAAAGCAATATGACTCGCACTAATAGAGGTCTGCATCACCAGGAGGTATTTAGGCACTAGTTATCAAAACCGGATTCCCTGTAGAGCTTATAATGATTTCCACAATTTGTGTAACTGAGTAAGAATCTAATTACCTGCAATTATACACCGTGTGTGAGCCTGAAGGATCAGGGGTAAAGTAAAAGCATGAGAGAGGATAATGGGGACAGATCAAGGTCAGTGAACTGATATACAGGCAATCGCCTCCTTCGTCAGTCATCAATCCCACCCTGCAGCGCGACATTTTAACCTCATGTAGGTTATGAGCATCTGCAACCATGTAGCTGATCATCTGAGTGACGCGGAGCCAAAAACCACAAGGCTGCACAGACAACTGGGAATGTGAAACAGCTACACCACGCAGGCACAGAGGGGGAGGGAATATAGCTGAGCTCAACCTGGCTATCTCCACAGGGGAGGGAAGTGAGAGGCCGCATGCCCAAGTCTCAATATTTGACAAGAGAAGCAAGATAATTGCTCAGTGTAAGTCCGTTGTGGACAGGATGTCAGCTGTGCTTTCGTTTGGAGCAGGACTCCAAACCAGGCCTGTACACAGATGGAGCCTGACAGCCTTTTTTTGGGGCTTCTCCAGCTCTTTCCTCTCGACAGTGAGAAACGAAAAGGATTGTGTGTGTGTGTGAGTGGAGTACGTGTCCAAAAGCAGCAGTTGCTTTGTTTGGAAAAGGATTAAAAAGGAGCAGAGGAGAAGTGAAAATAAAAAGAGATGCAGAGTTCTCAGGATCCACACCCTGACTTTACAATGATGAACTCATGTTGCAAACTGTGGATAGAAAGAGGAAGCAGACGGGAGTTTGGTATCCTGTGAGTTTTCTGACAAGGATTTATGTCAATGACTGAACGGCATTTAACGAATCCAAATGTAGGGAATCCCCTTTCAATGATTCAGGGAAGTCCCGTCTCTGGCTATTAGTTTTAGTCTGAGAAGTGCTGAGGTAAACTAAACACTAAACGAAAGTAAACGGAACAGCTTTAAGACTACAATATACTGTTGAATAACAAACTTCGAGGAGTACACAAATATACTTCTGTGTACTTCAAATCTGTGAACACAATTCATTATGTCCCGCTGTGAAACCTGATCTTAAACAAAACAAAGAAAAAGGTTACATGGGTGCTTACTTTGCTGAACCAGCAGGGGTAAACACCCTCTTCCTTATCTGAGAAATCTAATGTTGCCAAAACCACAACAGTGGAAATGTTTGGTACTGATACTCTTTATCTGCGCTCCGTGCTCCTCTGTTGCCAGGAATGTGTGAAAGTGGATCTGGGCAGGGACATTTATATGGAGGCTTAGCTCTGCTAGAAGTGTTGAACTGAGGGGCTGATCTTACTGAGAGGGTAATCTTACATCAGAAAGGCACCATGAATGTTAAAAAGGCACAGACTCCACCTCTTCTTGTTAATGTATTCAAGTAAGCAGATGGTTAAAAAAAACATCCAATAGCACTTCAAGAAACTGAGTGAAAAATTTAAAACGTACCTTGTACCCAGAGGTTTACATCTTGACTGTGGGAACCGATGTCGTTTTTCACGTCACAGCGGTATACTCCAGAGTCATTGCGCTCCAATGGGCGGGTGAAAGCAAAGCTATTGTTTGAGATCTCAACACCCTCAGGCATCAATCCATCCAACCTGTGCAAAAACAAAATGTTACATAAATCTCAGGGTGTACAGTACATCATACACAGACCTGCATCCACAGACACAAAGTTCATACATTATGTTATTACTGAGACATAAGTATAATTGAAAAACCTCTCCACGACTTGCAGTGGCGTCACTGTTCTGCCGGTTGTGTTGACTTGTAGGCCTGTTGCAACAATTATATGATCACATGACTGCGATAATTTAAGCTGACTGCACTTCCATCAGTCGAGGGGAAAAGCTTTCTACATGAACACAAGCTTTCAACGTCAGGGCAAAAAAAAAAAAGAGAAAGAAAGAAAGAAAGAAAAAAAAAGGAAAATAAAGAGCTTGGCTGTCTAGACTTTACTGGTACTGTCAGCTCAAATGAGACCATATTTCTTGTTTTCAAAGCAAGATGATGACAAAGAGCTGCCAATAGGCCAGTGTTGTTCTGATGCATGAACCAGTTGGAATCTTTTATTTATAGCAGGGAGTCTTCCCGATGGGTGCAGCAGTGCATTCGACAGCTCCAGTGTCCGGGCTCCAAAGTTATGCTAGTGGTAATTTATAGACTGACGCTTCTTCACTTCTGTGCTTAATATAAGTTTGTTTAAACCAAATTTAGAGCTGTACAACTAGAACAAACAGCAGCTGATCTGTCATGTAGTATTTGCTATAACATTAGTTTCTCAACAAACATGTTACTTTTGTTTGTTGATCAACAAAACAAGGATGTGAAACAAAAATGACAACTCATCATCACTCATTTAAGCAAGTGTTGCCAAAATTTGTTGTTGCAGCCAACAAAGTGCTACATACCAGAGTTAAATTCAGTTTCATTGAGTGTGTGTGAGATTTAACTTGAACGCATGATGAACTATTGATGAAACTGTCCAGGCTTAAGAGAACAAACACTGGTGTTTATGCCTGGCCTCCATTATTTACATTCTACAATGGCTTTGTCAATGGTCCAGATCATGTTATGTAACTTAACATTAGCTGCTGACAATCTGAAGACAAATACCAAAAGTTTTTTCAAAGTTTAACTACTGACTGCAGTCCAACACTACTGAGGGCTGCAAAATATAAAACAGTTGTGTCCCTTGAATTGAACCGCATTATTGCATTTCTCCCCCCTCTAGGACTTTTTTACTCCACGTTCGAGTGTGGCCGTTTGGAACTGCTGTAAACACGTTTGTCTACCGATGTAGTTGGATGTCCTGTTGTATGGTACGTTCTAGTTATTTTCTAGCATAACGCGACCCTCTGAAGAACACTATTATCTACTGAGACCTTGGAAAACATGTGACTGTGTATTTCCGATGTCACTTCAGTAGAGTGAGGTTTTTAGTTTCCAGCAATAAGCCACTATTAGAGAAACTGCATCTTAATGCACTTATTCAATTGTTTTCAGCATTAAGTCATAGAGGTTCCCCTGCTTACACCAGAGTATGAATGTATGTGTTTGTATTTTGTTTGTGCTTATTACAGATGCAGTGTTATGAGAGTGGATGTAGCAATCTCCAAAAACTACAGACGTCACTGGAAATCATGGATTGGGATCATAACATTATTGCAACACCTATCCTCAGGATGAAGTTTTTCCACAGGAAGGCAGTTTTCAGGGATACTGACCTGGTCCATGTGAACTGACTGGCAGGTGGGTTGGCTTTGGCACCACAGGTGAACTTCACATTCTCTTGACCCACGTGCCAATTTTTGTCAACTCCTATTATCGATACCACTGGTGCAACTGTAAAACAAAATAAAACAAAAAAGGTTATAATATTAAAGGTTTGCATTATTTACTGGGATTTTTATTTAATGTAAGGCTGTGTTATTCTTTTACCACTTAAGGTTGGTCATGCTGACTAAAATGGATTTTATTTTTTATTTCAAGAGGTAAAAGAGTAGGACTCAATAATCAGTCACTGTGATCCCAGCAGCCTGATGACAAATGAGCTTTTCCAGAGAGAACAAAGCGTGCATTATAAGCACAGTAGCAAGTGATGACAAAAAACAAAGACTGCGCAGGACTGGAGCAGGGTACAGCATCTTCTGGTGAACGAGAGCCAAGAGAACAAACAAATGACCCTGGGTTGCTGGAAAGAAAAAAAATGACACTCACTCAGACAGTAGATGTACTGCAGCTAATAATAAACTCCACTGCCTCACCATGACAAAGACAAAAAAAACAAAGGAAGGCAGGAGGATGCCTAAATGAAGCCCAGAACATGCCACTGTAATAAAACATGGCAAACACTGACTTAGAGATCCAATTTTTCATTTTGATTTCTCTGGAGGACAAATGAGGAACTCATTACAGCACACAGGAAGATGCCTCGACTCATCGTGTCCACTGACCCTTTTCACGCAGCTTGACGTTGAAATTGTGCTTCTTTTGCACTTAAAATCCCTTGCCTCTGCATTTGACATGATTTATTGAGCTGGAAAGCCTCTTTCTTCCTGTATTAACCTTGGTTTTTCTGCGTCTCAATCCGCTGCCCCCAGCAGCCTCCTGCTACTTGTGTTGCGGCTGAGGTCTGATCAATATTTCATAAAATACCTTCATTAGCTTACACTCACACAGTCCAAACACAGACTAACCCTTAGTACTTGCCAAGGAAGTATGCATCAATGATTATAACATTAAGATGACTCTTAAATGGCCCCTTTATGGGCGAAGAAGGAAAGGTAGTGAGCAGGCTATTCATAAATCAAGCCATCAGCATGGGTTAATATCAATAAGATATGCTGTACTGTTAGGGCTGCACCATGAGAGCTATAATAATCATTATGTTGCTGAATACAATCATCATGATTATTCTACTTGGTGAACAAAATCATTTTGCTCTGTGGACATTCAAAATTCAATTAAAACATTTGATAATAACTAAAATAAAAAAAAAAAAAAGATTACTTCACTAAATTCAAGGCGGCGAGCAACATGATCAGAAGCAATTTGGTGAAATATTGTGATTAGATGATGCCACAAACCCATTCAGACTAGAACCTCAGGCTAAAGATATTCTATATTGATGCTATTGCAGTTTTTAGCAAACATTTCTGAAACAGCAGTAAATAGTGCATTTGTTGGGGACTGTGGATTCAGTGTGTTAGTGAGTACTTACTGCAACAGGTTTACTTAAAGTAAACCACAGAGCCCATGGTCATTGTCACCCAGTGCAATGATGTGACTCACTGATGTGTACATCAGTGTGCAAAACACATGCCCATCTTTCTGCCTCCCAAGGACTCACAGCACTGTTAAATGCTCCTTTCATTCTTTACATTTCAGAACATTGGGGAAAGGACTTAGTTATACATGCTGCTGGACCTGAAAAACTGGCAATTTGGGCTCAAAAATGAGGTACGGTACTTTTAATAGAATTAATAGGATAAATTGTTGGTTTTGGTCTTTTCAATGATAAAACCACACTTATCCTGTCAGATGTAAGAAAAGACACCAGAAATGAATAATCCAGCACTTACACTGAACATTTAGTATGTAGGGTATGCGAAACTCTGTTTGCAGGGCCGGATGGCGAACCACACAGGTGAGCGTCTTCCCCTGGGCGTAGCTCTGCGGTTGCCACATATAGTGCACATGTATGGTGCTGGTGCCGTTGGGCTCATCCTGACTTTGCTTCTCACTTCGTCCATACAGCTCGGTCTCCCAGAAAACCTCAGCAGCTGGACGGCCACGCTCTGCTATGCAGGTGGCCACCAGTGACTCATTCCCACCGTCCAGCAGAGCTGTGGGGCCAGCGGACACGTAGACTTTTGGCTCCACTGTGAAAAAAGAGAGAAGAGAGGAGCAATAGAGAGAAAGGGGGGAGGACAGGAAATGACAGAATGGAGAAAAGATTACAAAATGAATATTGATCTTTTGTGTATGTATATGAATAAATAATGTCAATCATGTTGTGTATGGACAGAAGGAAGTGGCCTTAGTATACTTAACTGCCAGAGAGGGCAGATTGACTTCTTCCATTTCACATATATGCATTAAAAATTGATGAACCATGCTATTCAATCATATGGAGGCATTTCAGTGGAGACGTAGCTGTCTTTCTTGTTGTGTGTCAAACACATTGTGTTTGAGGAAGGGTAATCTATTGGTCCTACTGTAGGGCTCTAGCAAAGCATATTAGTGCCTGAAGTATGTGTATGAATTTGGGGAAAAACCTTTAATATTGCAGAATCAGAGGCTACAGACAGTAAACAATGTGATGTGTTTGGAGTCGACTGTGTTGTACTGGAAGATGAGGAGCTAAGTTACTGTACACTGCTCAGCGCCGAAGAGCTGGGGTAATGTTATACCGGCTTCCGGAGAATAACTGGTCGTTTAGACGCAACAAGGATTTTTTTTCAACAGAGAGGCAAAACAGATCCATTCAAGAGGGACATGACCAGAATAATGCAACCCTCTACCTGTTGTGCAGAGCAGTAACACAGTTTGTCTTTTGCTGCACTGGCCTAAAAACACATATGGGGTGGTGTTTAATAATCACACACTGTCAGAAATGACACTCTGGAAAGTTCAGCGAGACAAAAGAGGAGGCACTCGAAATACAAAAGGTACTCTGCTGGGGCTGGGGAGGACACAATGGAGTGGGTAGTGAAGTAAACTGGCTACACAGGTTACACAAGGTTACACTTCCATGTACCATTGCTAGAATTACCCCCTTGTGTGTATTTCTTCTTCTTCTGTCTTGCAGTGCACCACCTCCTCCATCTCTATCCCTCTTAAAATGCTAACAGCTGTTCCACTTACTGCAATAGTGACAGTTTTAAAGGCGGCACGTGGAGGCGAGCACCAGGCTAATCCACAAGACAAGGCCATCACCTTTAAGACATCTGCTATCCCACTCCTCCGCAGCCGAGCAGGAGCCCCAACAACAAACTCAAATAACTCCTGGCACCCCCTTTTTCCAAAAATAAAACCTAGCGTCTCCTGTACCGAGTGCAGGGGCGGGGACGCCGTTCTCAGTCATCCACCTCACATTCTTCACTCACTTCTCTCTGCCCCTCCTTACAGGCCTTGGACTATAAACAGTAGCAGCTCTATGTTAGGAGGCGAGCTGGCTAAAGCTTCAGAATAACTAAATCAGAGAGACGTGTTAATTTGGAGTTGCTGTCAGGAAGGGAGGGGAACGCTTTGGACGAGTGGAAATGCTTTAGGGGAAAGGGTAACGATTTCCCTTCATCAAACTGGCTGCATTGGCCCTTTCCCGCCCACATACACACTGATCCACATATGCACACCGAACACTGACGTCATACTGGGAACCCCTGGAAAAAGGGGGATTTAACTGGATATTCAATGATTATGCATCATGTCTGGACATTTTTACAGTAAGATTTAGTATCAAAAACCTATAAATTGGCCTTTTTACAACTTAAAGCAGTCACTTACGGTATGACGGCAGTTACAAAATCAACAACCATATTTTTTGCTTAAGATTTTGGATGCTGCGATGCAAAAAGTCGGAGGTTAGATTAAATGCTGTCACGCACCAAAACAAAGTTTTTGAAGCAAAACAACCATTGTGCAAACGAAGCCACACATAGCAAACAGGTAAGATCAATGAAATTATATGCAAGTAAGCTGTTAGGGAAGGCCTCATTAGCTGACAGTTGACAGAACAAGAAAAGATATACATCTTAGGACGTATAGCATTGTGTAAGCAAAATATAGCTTAACAACACATACTGAAGAGAAACTGGGAGAAATCCAGCAGTATTTGAATAAACTGTAAGGAGAAAACATTTTTACCACAAAAAAAAAAAAACTAGTCAAATTTTGGCTTCAACGAGTAAGCAATTTTCAACATCTCTCTGTGGGGGCGATTGCTCTATTGTATGACTCAGCAAAAAAGACAACTTGAAGAAATGCAGTTCAAGTTGGAGAATAAAGCTCAAACACTTGGAGCTTGTATAGTTAAAGAATGATCTCTACAGTAATGCTGCTTATCAATAAAATCTGCCTTGCCATCTTAATGTGTGTGAATGTTGTTTTTTTTTAGAAAGTCGATTGCTGTTTTCCTATTCACCTGTCAGCACTTTCAAACAAAGGGTCATTCTAATTCATTCACGTTATGTGTCATATTTTCCTCCTCTGGTTCCTTCCTGTTGCTTACTGGTGCAGACTTTTGGCTCATGTACTCTAGCACAGTTCCTGCTGAACTGTTCCTTAAATCCATGGGCCTTTTTTCTATGAGAAGTTGCAGACACAAGAATGAGAGTGAGAAATTGTTGAGCCAGAACAAATACTGTGTGTTGAGTGTCTCATGACACTTATTAAACACAAAGAAATTAAGTCAGTGTCCACTGCACCTGTTAATCATTATGATGGGTGTCGTGACTTAGGCCTATTATTCTTGTGTTTGAGCCTTTTCATTGATTTACTTTAGTTCATTTGAAAGGAATGAAAATGAGGTCAAGTGCTCTCTCATAAACCTCAAAGTATAAACATAAATCAAAACTGGGAACTTTGAGCATTTAAACTGAAACAAATGCATTGTGCACCGTGTAAAACTGGGTTTAACGTAAATATATTAATATATACTGATGTGTTATGTTGGGCTGCAGCCACCTTGTCCTTTCAAAAACAGCCTTGTGATGAAATGTACAAGTC